CTCTGAGCAGTGCTGAGCAGTGCCGGACCTCAAGTCTGTTCTGGACCTGCCCCTTCACCTCCCAGCCCACTTGCACCCGTCCTCCAGGCCGCCTGCCACCTGGATTCCACCTCCAGATGCCCAAGGGGGCACATCTGATGAGGCCTGTGGCCTGGTGCGATGTTCACCCAGGGCAGTTCTCACAGGATGATAAGTTGGTAAATCATTCCAACAGAAGCCACACTGCCCCTGGCATGCCACTGTGTCCTGTTTAGAAACCTGGCGGGCTGTGGTTTCTGCTGCTAGAATGGTCATGTCTGGTGAGCTTTTCCTGCATTCCCTCACCTTTCGCAGCCCCTCCAGTTCCTGAAGGCGTTTCTCTCCAGAGCAGTGCAAACCCTAACCCCAAACCTCAGGTGAACCCCAACCCCAACCCTAACCCTGACCCTAAAACTTCATCCCAAGCCCAGCCCTGCGGCTTCCCATGCTGCGTGGAAGCCTTCTTCAGTCCGCACTGCAGACCTCTGGTCAGAGTGTTCGGCAGATCTCGTCGTTTGGGGCCAGGGAAAAGTTCAACTTCACTACTGTTTGTTCCCTGTTTCTTCTTTTTAATTTCTCTGACATCAGGCTGTAGCAAAAAGTTACCTAAAGGAACCTGGACTTCTTACAGGAGACCTAGAGAATTTATTTGAATGTTAAATACCATTTAATCTGACCACATTTCTCGGCAGCGTCAGATGGAAGTGGAAGGTCACAAAGTGGCCATCTCTTTCTAGGCCTTTTCTGAGAAAAAACCCTGGGGTGGGTTGGGTGGGCCACGTGGGGGGCAGCCCGGCGAAACCTGCAGAGACCCCTGGGATTCTGGAGAGGAGGAGTTGTGCAGGAGGCGCTGCTGGCACTGCAAGTCCTGCAGTTGAGCGTCTCTCCTTGGTTCCTGCTGCTCCTGATTACCAGCCCCTGAGTACCACCCACTTAGCAACCTATGGCAACCCACCTCGACTGTCTCTCAGTTCTGTGGGTCGGAGCCCTGGATGCTGTGCTTTCCACCCCATAGCTTTGCCTGCGGAATACAACTTGGAGCGACCCTAGTGGCTAAGAAATTCAGGAAGTCTGTGCACTTAGGAAACCGGTGCCTGTCAAAGTGCCTTTTCTTGTCTTCTTTCCCTCCGTGCCCCTCACAGTGCTGGGAAGCAAGTGTGAGTGTAGGCGCGATCTCTCCCACTGGGCCACACCCCCCATGCTCGCTGGGTCTCTCCCCCGTCGGGCACCACCAGTGCCTTCACCACAACAGGGTTCGCGTTACTCATATTTAACGTATTTAACTGCTTGTGCAGATCTTGGTGCTCTACGGCACTGCACGGATCTCAGCGTGATCTGCGGCTTTGCCAGTAAGAGCGTGGGCCTGACACAACATGGGGTTTTGACCCCAAGAAAGAGAAGCCGCAGACAGGTCAGCGCATGTTTGCCCCTGCCTCCCGTCTCGTAACATTCTCTTGTACTCTGTACTGAGCGTTGAAGTAATACTTTGTTTCAGCCAGAAGAGGAGCCTTACTTTCTAACCATGTTGTAAAAAAAAAAAAAACCTTATGCTTTTAGAAAATACATTGAAATTAAAGTTTTGATTTACTGAGAAAAAGCCAGTCATTAAATAATGCATTAATTGTGTAACAGTTGTTTCTAGATAACTGGCAACAAGAACTTTTAACAGGGAATTCATTTTTAAAGTAATGGACAGGAACCAAATTTGATTTCAAAACTAAAAGCAAAGACTCATATCTCTAGCTTTTGACGTACAGCAGTTTACTAGCATTTTGAAATTTCATCTGGCCAATTAAGTATACAAAGCAAATTAACCAAAACATACATTATGCATGTAGAGAAAATATTAAAGTATGTAATAAGGAAGTGTGCTCGATAGGAGTCTTTAACAATTGAAAACACAAAGTAATTTTGAGATTCATGACAGCCCCAGGGTTCATGTTACTCAGCAGGACAACTTTAGAAGATGGGGCAGAGCTCCTCAGGTTGCTGGTGAAGGCAGGAGTGTCGTCCTCCGTACTCTTTGAAGGAGTCTAACTGTTTACCAGTGCGGTCCTTCCTGGTGTTGGTTGTTGCCTGAATTTTACACACAACTCCTCTCTTAAAGGGTGGACAGCGGATTAAATCACAGCAGCTTTTCGGCAGTACCGAGAATGGCGAGGGAAACATGAATGTTTCCAAGGAATAACTTTGTCTTGAGTCCAGCCAAGCTTTCTTCAGTAAGGTTAGATCCGATATAGGATTTCATCAATGACTTCATTGTTTGAAGGAAAAAACCTCTGTTCTCTTCAAAGTTTTGACATTTTTCATTTTCCATTCTGTTACTGCCTCTTTCATGACACAATTCAGGCATTTAACTGAGTTTAAATTAGTGGATTGGTTGGCAGCTAAAAATTGATTTGTGCAAGAGACTTGAATAACTCGAGAGATTTACCTACACCTTTAGCATTTCATTCTTTAATTTTCTTCTTGGGATTTCTTTCCTACTGTAATCATGTGACACTTACGTGCCTGGCAGTGAGCTCCATGCACTTCAGTGTCATGAACGCTGGCGTGGTGTCACTGCCTGCCTGCACGTGTGACAGAAGTCACTTGGCCAAGGACTGTGTCCTTATTTCAACTCACAGAGCTACTTTGAGAAAGGCTCAGATCCAAGTGTGCCCAGCTAGAATGTCACACCGCACTCCATGCTACGCTCATGCCTGACCATGAAAACGTGCACTGACCTGTCTGCGGCTTGTCTCTTTCTTGGGGTCAAAACCCCCTGTTGTGTCAGGCCCACGCTCTTATTGGCAAAGCCGCAGATCACGCTGAGATCCGTGCAGTGCCGTAGAGCACCAAGATCTGCACAAGCAGTTAAATATGTTTCTGTCCCACAAGGTGCGTCCGGGCTTTTGGTAAGTATCTTGCACATGGAGGGGGGCAGAGCAGACGTGACCTGTGTCCTTGTGGGATCCTCGGTGTCATCACACTCAGCATCACAGCGTGGCGTGGCACTGAGGAAATCTGTGGTCAGAGACAAGAGGAGGGCCTCTTTAGGTACCACCCAAGCACATGCAGTGTCTGGCTGCACCTGCACCTGGGAAGTGCTTGGCACAGTGCACGTACGTAACAGCTGCTGACCTGGGCCATTATTTTATCACTTCTCCTCAGCTCCCAAACAGCCCTCTGGTCATAGGCAGAAAGTGGCGCAGACAGGTGTGCAGGAGGAATGGGCTTCAGGTCCTTCCACAGCCGCCCCGTTTTGTGCTGGAAGCCTGAGTGAGCATGAATGCGCCCTGTGCAGTGGCGACTCCCACCGACTCATTCCTGCTTCAGGGGCGCCTGCTGGGCTCTCAGGTCCTGCAGGCCTGGCCGGCGAGGCACAGGCCCCGCACAGCAGCCGTGACACCCCGTGCTTCCTCCCAAGCCGTCTCCTAGGCAGGAGACCAAGGCTGAGAAAGCCTTAAGCATAAAGTACAGATGTTATTTTTAAAACACAAGCTTTTACTGTATTTCCTTAACAAAAACAACAGACACTTACCACAGAAGAGACAAGAGAGCAGGCCCACCGCCCGAGGGCTGCTGTGTGTGGAGGAGACGTCCTTCAGCACGGTGGCCCGGTGCAGTACACGTTCTGCCTGCACCTCACTGGTCCGGGTCCTGGGGCTGCTCGGTTTGGTGGACACTGGCACGAGTGTAAACGTCCACTACCACCGAGGTCCAGCCCTGGCCTCCTCGACAGGAGCCCTGGTGTGGCTGGTCCCCAGTTACTGAGCATACAGGTTGTTTTTTCTTCTACTTTTATCTTTTCTTTTTTTCTGTTATAAATAATTTATTGAATGAACAACAGAGCTGCCATTGTTGAGGGCATTTTTATGTTAAAAGAGCTAAATTATTTAAAATGTGGGGAAAGTGCTCTGTGCTGAGGTAAGGTATCTGGCAGGACAGGGGACACTGGTGAGGTCTCTCTGAGGGTCAGAGGTCACACACGTAGCTTCGGGGAATCACTAGAGAAACTGAGCCCCAGGTTAGCTTTCCGTGACTGTGATGGGTGCCTGAGGTAATCACCCGTGAAGAAAGAGTTTGTTCCAGTCTCAGGTTCAGAGGCCCCAGTCCCTGCTCAGACTCTGCTTTTGTTTATTCATTTGTTTTAAATTTTTATTTTATTACTAATGTGTGTAGCGGTAATAATCACACTCCTTGTGGTGAGCTGGGGCACATGCATAACAGGCCTTGTTCTCTCTCACCCCCTCCCGGCATCCCTTGGTCCCTTCACATTCCCAAAAGATCTATCTCTGTTTCCCATATCTTTAATTTTGCTCTTTATCTGTATGTTGGGTTTTTCATAAAAGAGAAGTCATGTGATACTTTAGCTCGTGTGTCTGATTTGTGTCACTTAACATTATGGTCTCCATCCCTTTTCCTAAGTGCCTCAGTTCTGTCCTTCTCCATGGTAGCATAGTGCTCCCGTGGTATGAACACCGCGCTTTCTCTACCCAGTCATCTGTGGGTGGGTGCCGTGGTGGCTTCTGAGGTGTGGCTGGCCCACTGCTGTACGCATGGGTGTGCGTGGATCGGTTTCTGTCGGGTGGCCTGGCACAAATGGCAGAAGTGTGTAGCGGCGCACAGCTGCTCACCTCAGGGCTGAGCAGTAAGAGAGCATGCTGCAAGGGCCAGGGTCCACAGCCCGTCCAGGGCCGCCACCCAGCTCCCTGGGGATCCTGCTGGCCCTGTCCCTAAGGGCGTCACTCCCCAGAGCCCCACATGCACAAACCCCACAGAGGGAGGACAGGACCCAGGTGGACTGTTGCAGTGAGTTGGAGTCAGCCCTGGAGCGTCCCAGCGCTGCCCTCTGCTTGTTCGCCCAAGGAACACAAAGCCCCTCCAGCACTTCCCACTCTGCTGAGTTTGCCCGCCAACGTGTAATGCTCTCAGTGTCGTCCCTTAGATCGCACATGCCATTGTCCATGAACTGAAGTGCACCGATTCCTTCTTGCCAGGAATGCCATCTCCAACCGCACTGAAGAAGTCAGAGAAGTCAGGGTTCAGCAGCCCCTCGCCCTCGCAGACCTCCTCGCTGGGGACGGCGTTCACGCAGCACCACCGGCCGGTCATCACGGGCCCCCGAGGTGAGCGCTGTGTGGAGCGGGCAGGGGCCACAAGGACCGGGTGCCTGTGTAGTCCTGTGGGTGGCCCGGGGTCTCAGGCCACAGGACCGGGTGCTGTGTAGTCCTGTGGGGTGGCCCGGGGTCTCAGGCCACAGGGCCTCACACTCGCCCCCGCCCCTCTAGAGGCAGAAGGGGCCAACAGGTTTGCTACATGGGATTAGCAAAGGGGTAGGGCGCAGCTTGAACTGAACCAAAATCAAACCCACCCTACAAGCATGAGTGTGTGTGCATGCATGCACGTGTGTCTGTTCACACACGTGTGTGCTGGGTGTGTGTTTCCCCTCTGGGTGGTCACCTGTTTTCAAGTCAGAGTTATTATCCGTACTCTGCTCCTCCGACCCACTTCCAGGGAAGGTGGATTCAGCCTGTGGTTTGGGGCTGGGGCTTGATGAGCATCCCCACCCACGCCTCTTGAAGTGGAGGCAGTTGAGTTTGCATTATTTTTGTCTCCTGTGCTTTTAAGTTTATTATTAAAATGTGTCAATAAGAAATACAATTGGTATTTCACATTAAAGACAAGACTTAAACCTCAAGAATGTCAGCAAGTCACTTAATTTGATCTTACTGCAAGATGGAAATATTTACTAGTTTGTTTACACACCTCCTATGGTAGGAGCAGGAATGATTGTGACCATGTTTGCCTTCTTCCGTGCGATCCGGTTAGGTCATCCAGTCCAGCTTGGGGGCTCTGTCGTTGGCCAGCTGCTGTCATCACAGGTTTTGGAGAGTTAAGGTCTCTGGTCTACTCTGACACACCCCTGGGGAAATGGAGATTCCTGACATTGCCCTCAGTGTTAGTCTCACAGATCTGAACCCCTTCTTGTGTAATCTGTGTGCATCTTAAAGAAACATGGGCGCAGGAGCCTCCTGACGCTCAAGGGACAGAAGAAGCGCTCTGACACTACAGTAGCTTCTGGGTCAGGATGGTGAAAACTCACTTGCTTCCTCTTTAAACACGCGTGATCGGTGGTAAAACTTTCCCCAGATCATCATGATTTCACACACATGCAGTAAACACAGAGCTACCGTAAGTGAGTATGTGTCTGTGCGCACCCTTGCACACCCGCATGTGACTGGATGAGCTGGTCCTAGAGCGAGCCCCATTCCGTGAGGTGGTGTTGTGACGTCACCTCGTCATGAACATGCACTGAGCTGGGAGCGGAGGTGGGAGCCAGAGATGACCCCCCTCAGAGTGTCTGACCCCGGGGGAGGCGAGGCATGGCTACCTCTCACCTCTAGAGTCAGGCTAGTGCATTCAGATGTTGAGTGAGTGTTAAAAGCACAGGTTTCTGCAGGAGCTCAGGAGGAACTGCGTGATTCGTCCACTCACTCATTCCGCAAGACCTTATGAAGTCACTGGCGGATGGGATGGGCAGTTCCTGTCCACATGGCCCCTGCAGCTCAGGAGGAGAGCGACCAAAGGAGACAGGCACTCGGAAAGTGACGAGAAGCAGGCTGTCATTGGTCATCGCTATCAAAGGGAAGAGAAGCTTAGAGAATACTGCAATCAGCTGTTGCAGGATGCCTCTGCGAGTGAAGGACCTTCCCACACAGGGGAGCTGCATCTCATAGATGGAAGCCTGGAGAGCCCCACCAGCCGCAGGAGAGCAGGCACGTGCCTCCTGCCCTTCCGCTGGCCTCCTGGGTTTGATTGTAGAGGGACTGTTTCCTCCCAACCTCACCTTCTTGCACAGAAACTGAAATAAAACACTACTTTAGAGACTCCTGAAGGAGCATAAAGCGGTGGGAACATGGCCCCACTTCTTCAGTGCCTGTTGAAAGTGCTTGTTACAGCTCTGGAACCGCTGTGACTTCCGAGAGCCCTGCAGCCGCAGCCTGGGCTGCTCCATGGGGAAATGAAGCTCAGGTGCTACCGTAGCCAACGCAAGGCAGCCCCACACAGGAGCATCACTCTACTGTCCGCACTCACTCAGCACGGAGGGGAAGAGAAATGTGCCTGTGTGGAACTGGGGATACCAAAGCATCAGGCCTACCCCAGACTTAGGACGGCTCCCAGGTTCTCTGGGCTTCTGTCAGGAAGGTCTGCATGGTGCCATGGTCTTCGGGCCCAGAGCGTCACATCTCTGGGAGCCAAGTCCCAGCACCGAGAGCTGAGGTCAGGAGTGTTTGCTGTGTTCTTCGTCCCCCACTGTGCCCATCGGGCAGCTCAGCTCACTCTCACATCTCTTCTGGAATGAGAACCTTGTGCTTCAGGAAGATTGTGATGAATCAGAGGCAGGCAAGTCCATATGAGGGAGTCTGTGTGGCTAAGATGCCGTGTTCCCAGAGGACAGGTCAGCCTCTAGCCTCTCACCTTGCAGAGTGACAGCAACTGGAATGGAAACCGGATGCTGCCGAAGCCCAGCTTCGAAGGGACTGTGAGGAAGAGAGCAGGCCCCTGGCTGAGTTCCCAGGCAGGCACAAGGTGGGACCCACTTGGCACAGGATGTGTCCACTCTGCTCAGTGTGGTATGAGGTGTCTGTCAGTGTCATTAGGCCTGCCCACACAGCACCATGACCAAGAGGAGCCCGTGAGCTGTCCCCATCCTCGGAGCAAAGCCCGGTTGCCTCATCAAATAGATGCTATTGTATCTTTTACTGCAAATGGGAGCTCAATTTGGATATGTGATGGCTCCCCTTGCAAAGGAAACCTCTTCTTTAATTCAGTGTGAAAGCAGGGGCAGGCCATCAAAGGCAATGGCCTGGCGTGACAGTTGCCAGGCTGCACGGGCTCTGTCTCCCAATGCCCTGGCCTGAGTGGCACGCACACGGCAGGAAGTTGCTTCTCACGGTTCCAGCAGCTGGGAGGTAAAGGTGAAGGAGCTGGCAGTGGGAGCCCACACCGTCTCTGCCCGGTGCAGACCACGCCCTCCTTGGTCTCTTCCGAACGTGTGGCGCTCGTGCCTGAGGCTCCCCAGGACCAGCTTTCCCCCAGGGCGCGGCCCCACTAGCATTGGCTTGGGACTCAGGGTTCAGCGTGTGGGTGTTGAGGGGCCGCTAACAGTCTGCACGTAGCCATGAAGCACAGAGGTGTAGGGCTCAGAGAGATGGGTGTCTAACCCTCTGCCCACCACTGGTCCTAAGTATGTGGCTGCCTCTGCAAATGGAGGTCATAGTCTCTACCTCGGAAGAGTTGTGTTTTGGAAGGAGAGGCTGAAGTCATGTATTTGTAGCCATTTGTGCAGCATCTGGAAAGAGCCTATGCAGCCAGTTGAACAAACCAGTAGAGAGAAAATCTCGTGCTGCCCCGGCCACCTCACCTGTCTGTGTTTTACCCATCCATCCCCAGGCCCAGCTTGGGGCCAGGTGGAGGAGCCCTTATGTAAATGCTGAGAGCAGAAGTGGCTCCAGCTTTGAAATATTGGCTTCTGCACAGTATCTTGGGGACAGGACCCAAGTCTAAACACAGAACTCGTTTATGTGTCATACGCTCATCGCCTGAAGATAATTTTGTACCGTATTTTATTGCTCCTGCATATTGACTGCAGCCTGTCTCATAGGCCCAGGCATGGAATTTTTCCCTTGTGTAATGTCAGTGCTCAACAAATTAGGTTTTGGAGCCTTCTCAGACTTGGAATTGTCAGACAAGGGGTGCTCAGCCTGTGAGGCTTCCGGCCTCCAGCGCCATCCACCGTGCCCCACCAGACCCTGATCCTGGGCATGTGGTGTAGGGTCTTGTCTCCTAGTTAAAGCGCACGTCTGCTGGCCGTCCTGGAGTAGAACTCTGAAAGACAAGCATCGTTCACATGTGTGCCTCTTATTCTGCCCCACCCGGGGAGGGTGTGGGCTGGATAAAGAAAAAGTAGTCATAGTGCTTATCGAAGCACACAAAAAAGATCTCTGCTCTGCCCACCATACATGCCCTGGTAGTTCTGTCTGCTCCATAAGAGAGGAGGGGTGCATGTGGGGTCTTAGGAAGTCCTCCTCCAGCTGTGGCCTCTCATCTACAGAAGCCATGCAAGATTAAGTGAGGTTTTGATACTAGAAGCTAAGGTTTGTCTTAGTTCCTACTGTTCTGACCACTTCCCCATTTATACTGAAAAGGTGGAGGCATATGGCTTTTAAATCTCATCCCCTTTCTGACAGTGGCTTTCTTTGTGGCCTGGGGAAATCACTTAACCCCCGGCCTCAGTGTGGCCATCTGTACCATGGGAATAATGCTTTGCTGCCTGTTTCTCTGTGTGGTTAGAGTTATGGAGAGGGTTAAACTGCTGGGATATCCTCGGGGTGGAGAAGCTGTTAAACTTAGCAGAGGCATTTGTATGTCAGATATTATTGCATCTGGTAGACACTGCAAGAAGAAACACTGGGCTCTCAAAGACTCTCTTTTACCATTACTTAAAATTGTAGCCATCATGAAGTGTTTATTCAGAATAAGACAGTTTATCTTATTCACCATAAACGGGGAAAAAGCCTGTTCTTTTCTGTGTCTTTCAAGAGCTGTAAGTTTGCCGGATGACCTAAAGAGTCCTTTTTTGAGAATTATCTTGAGTACTCGTCAGTGGTGAGTTTCTTGAAATTTATTTTTCTTCCTAAAGTCTGTTTTCAAAAACAAGATAGTGAATGATACTTATTTTATTTAAATACTTCGTACTAAGTCAGGTAACTCTGCTTTAGAGATTTAGAAATGGGGAGGGGGTGCCACAGCTACCAGCTGGGTGACAGGAGTGCGCAGAGGCGGGGACGTGCTCTCGGGATCCTCCAGGGTCAGGTGGGTACTCTGCGTGCGGGCTGCTTGTCATTGCTGAGGGTGCTAACGTTCCCCAGCGCTGTTCCAGTCTGTTGTGTTCCTTGTGTCAGCTAAGAATGTATTTGGCTTCAGTGAGAGAGAAGTCTGGTTAAAAGGTGGCTTCAGAAAATGAGGGGTTATACTTGTCTTGTGTAAAAGTAAGTGTGTGATTCAAGGTTGCCACGGAAGCAGAAGGCCATCGAATATGGACACTGACCGACTCTGTCAGCCA